CTATTTCGAAATTTTTTTATTATTTTATAGATTATTTGATTTGTAGCAGTTTTACTGTATTGAAAATGTTATATTATTAATTCAAATTACAACATTATATATAAATAACTTTTTTATATGAATTTTATGTAATTTTTGTAAGAAAATTAGAAATGAAAATGTGCATGCCAAGAATATACAAAATCTAAATTTTTCTGAACCCATAACACGACACCATATAACTTAATATCAGCTTTCCTCTGCAATAATTTTGTGAATTACAGTAAAAACAAAAAAGAAATAAATTTAAAAAAAAATATAAAAACTTAATTTCGAATTTTATATTTTCGTAATTTAAAATTACAATTTAAACAGACAGAGAGTGTAGTTATGGTGAAATTATTTTACACATTACAACGATCATATAATTTTTTTTTTAAATTAAAAAGAAAATAAGTGGTTAAAATAAAAATTTTTAAATCACACTTTTTCTACCCATACAACAAAATTATGTAGTTATAGCACAAATGACTTGATTGACCTCTTTTTCTTTAATTTTTTTTTTTTAGGTTTTTTTAGTTAATAATTAAGTATCTTAACGTTTACACCAATTTACACACTGAATTGACGCAATATACATACTCACATTTCTTTCTTCTACGTATGCTTTCATATACAATATTTACCAACAAATGAAATTTTAATTACAATATTACAAAATTTTGCACAATATTGTTCAGTGTAAGTAGTTTAATTACACATGCTATTAACTTATATTGATATACAAATATATATACGAGTATAATATAATAATATTAAAGGAAAAACTGGTTATTAAAAATGTTATAATTAAAATATCGTTAATCTCCTAACCATACCATATACACATATACAAATAAATTAATTACGGTTCTACTAATAATAAAATGTCCTATTAAAAAATTAAATTCGTGTTTTCCACTAGCATGAATATAAGAAAATCATCTTTTTATAAGTATGTACATATATTATATATGAAAATATTTCCATATATGGAACTGTTATATGGAAGTATAAGAAATTTTACTTGCATGTACATCTATTTAAGCATCTATTTAACTGTAAATAAGAAAATCATTGTAGAAAATAAAAAAAAAATTAATGATGACTTCCTGATACAAAAACTATATTTAAAATTTGATTTTGAAATCTTGAACAAATTTAGTTTTGTTAAAGCAAAATATGTATAAAAGTTTTAATAAAAAAATATAAGAAATTTTTCATTTTTAACATTTACCAAAAAAAAAAAACTAATGGAAAAGCAAAAATTATTTATTTGTCATTTATAAATTAACTATAACGAAAGAAAACATTATGAATTTGGGTTACTGTTTATAATATCTAAAATTTTAACCATATAACAGTTATATGAGATTCTTTATTTTACCTATACTACAATTTGACTTGAATATTTCGAGGTGAAAATCAAAGTTCAACTATTCTATTAATATTTATATTTTCAGAATTTAACCCTTATGCCAACTTCAATGTCATTTGAGGTCATATCAAAAATTTTTCTTAATAATGTATATATGTATATGTATGTTTTAAATGGATTGTATAAAAATAATATAATACGAGTAGTGCGTAAACAAATGTAAACAAATATTGTTATTATGTTGTCATCTTGTTATTAAATAATCAAATATTTTCTAGAAATTTCTATCACACAATGCGTAGTATTGCAGCATATTATGTGTTAGAAAATTTAAAAAAAGAACTTTTAAGCTAAAATTTATTCATATAAAGAATATGTATAACAGTATTACAAATTGAAAATTCTAAGATTTTAAGCATAGAATTTCGAAAAAATAAATTCTGTTTTTAATTTAAAGTGAATTTGGCTTAATAAATATACTTTGATTATTATTTCAATGTATTATTAAGTCATTGACGTTAATGAATGCAATTCTCGCCCGACGACTATAAGCAATCGTATTAAGCTTTCTGAAGAAATTTTTATACATAGGATAATATAAAAAAAAAAAACTTTTAGAAGAGATTGAATCAAATTCGAAAACACAATATGTCTTAAAATTAATTGTGTACATTAAAGGGTTAAAGAAATTGTGCCCATTAAAGGGTTAAAGAAAATTGTATTACACTAAGATTTGAGTCATGTATATTGAAAATATCCCACAAATGACTGGGTTTAAATGGGAAGTTTAAACGTGCGAGAAGTTATATACTTATATAATCGGAAAAACAAAGTTTTAAGATAAAATAATCAAATATAAGAAAGAATAAAAATGAAATAGAAAATAAAAGAAAAAAAAACAATTTTCTTTCTTTCTGTTTTCAATCTTTACCATTAACCTTATTTTTCCTTATTTTCTTCATTTATATGCCATATACATATACATATAACACTTTATATCCAGGTTTAAATCATGATATTATGTGCCACTAGCTTAATGAAAAAAAAAGTGCAAGTTGACTTTTAACTTTAATTTTCTTCTCAAATATAAAAATTTCTGTTAAGATCAATGAAAAGTTAAAAGTGCGGTGAAAGGAAAAGTGGTTTGTCAGAGTTTTTCCTTCCGCAATTGAATACATTAAATTTATTATTTTTTCTTTTTATTACAATTTTAATATTGCAGAAAATTTTGCAATACCATTGTATAGAAAGAGAAAGATAGATAATAATAATAAAGTAAATATGGCTTTTAAATAGAAGTAAAGTAGGTAACGGAAAAAAAAATATACAAAAATTATGCAGTCAAAAAAAAAAAAATTTGTATGTGGGTTTATAATAGTCGTAATTGAAAATTGTGGTTTTCTAAAAGAGTAAATAAATATTTACGATATTGTAAGAAAAAAATTGGTTACATAAGATTTTTTTTTTTTTGTATGAAAATTGAATTTTCATCAAAATAATTTTTAAAACTTTTGAAAATTTTGTTTTTAAAAAAAAAATTTAATTACAAAATCTTATACGTACTTAAGAGTCACATTTGAGTCATATAAGCCACAATAATGCACAATGTGTAATTATTAAAAAGAGGAAAAAAAATTATTAATAATTAATAAATTAATATTAAATTATTATACGGAAGTTGAATGATTGAATAAGCATATCATCATATATAAAGCTGAAACATTAATTTAAATAAGTACGATGAAATAATTTAATTAAAAATATTCAAAATTTTTCTCCTTATTCTCTTTATTGTGAACGTTAACGTATATTTGAAGTTAAAATTGACATATTATGGTGACTTCAAAAATGTGGTAAATAATTTGATATTTTTATATTCTCTTCTTGCTATACAAAATCGGCAATTCGTAAGCTGGATTCCGAATATATCAATATCGTATTATTGAAATTGTTAAACTAAAGAAATAATATTTTAACAAATTTGTAATAGCACATATTAAATTTAATTTATTACAGTAATAATAATAATTTAATAATGTTAACATTAAATGAATTCTTAATTTATGAAGGAGAAGAGACTAATCACCCGCCTATTTAACTCAATGGCTAACGAAACTAAAGTATCGCTCTATTATGTCATATATAATGGCCCTATACTCTACTTGATGTTAAAAAAGGAAATGAAAATGAAGGAAAATAAGTTGATTATAGCATATCTATAATAAGTTAACACTTTAAAATAAGGACCTCTTGTCTATCTCGCTATTTTACTCAGAAAGTGACAAAAAAGTTAGTAACTATCATATACTTGTATAATGTAATTTTCGAATGAGAAGAATTATTTGATATTGTGTATCTCATTTTTTTCTAAATGCATATACAAAATTTGTTTATCACCGAGATTCAAAAATTCGCCAATCTTTTAAATGGTTTTATGCTAAAATTGTTCTATTTCAAAAATGTTAAATGATCGAATTTTTTGTTGAATGCCATCTTTCAAATCACGGTAAGTGATTTAATCTTTAAGAGATAAGTGACTAATTTTTATAATCAATATTTTTTTAAAGTCATTGATATTTATTGTTTATATTTTTGCTAATTCAATATCAAATATTATGGACATATGAGTATAATTACATTTAAAATTTGTATATATTAATCTATATGATAAATATAATTTTTAGTATTGACTTGATCAGGGTTTGAAATCAAGACTCTTCATAGTTAACCCTTCAAAGAACAGGTGTTATTACAATTATACACCATTGGTCATATAAATTCTATATAGTACAATATAAATAATAAATTCCATATATTATGCAGTACTATAGTTTACCACCTTACTAATTAAAGTAAACTATAACGAAATATAATACATGTATATATACTTTACATGCTTGCTACCATAGTATATAATTTTGTAAAAAATTTAAAATATTTCTTAATTTACATATCATTTATATACCCATTCCATTGTATGTACATATATTTATATATATATGTATGTAGGTAGGTATTTTATTTGTTTATAATTATTTGTACAAATTATTCATACATCTTCTTGTATATTTTTGTATTAAGCGTTTTTTATAAAATGTTTGTATAATATTACATAATTTTTGCCTGTACAATGTAGTACGTAGTATTTTGTGTGTAGTATGCCTACATATATATATTGTATGAATTTGTATATGGACAAATCAAACAAATTATACTTTGATTTAGTTTGATTTGAATTTTTAAAAATAATCAAATTTTTAAATCAGAACTGATTATTGTAAACGATAAGTTTTAAATTTTATTATATTATTCGATTTTTTAGTTTAAAATGTTATTGAGGTAAATTAAATTAATTAATTTGAAAATTTTATTTTATAAATTTTAATAATTATAATTAGTTTTTTTGTTATTATTTTTGTAATTAATTTTCAAATTATTTTCCAATATTTATGCAATTCTTTTTAAAAATTTTTCAATTTTTTAATTTTTTTTCAATTAAATATTTACACTGAAATTTTTCAATTTTAAATTCTTTTCTTAAAAATGTAAACAAAATTTAATTTTACAAAAACAAAAATAATTAATTAATTTATTAAATAATCACCTTAAATTGAATCAAAAATTCTTGAAAAATTTTATTAAATAAAAAATTTAATGATGTTATTTTAGGAATGGATAAAACCGAACTGAAATTTTTATTTTCTCAACATTAAAATTTATTTAACAAAACGCATAAAATCCCACCATTTATCGTGACAAAATAAACAAAAATTTAATGATAATAGAAAAAAAAACGAAAGAAAAAAAACAATAAAAAAAAAAGTCAAAAACAAATTTTTTTTTTATATTTTTTGTGTTTTAAGAAATAGGTTTTTGTACAAACTAAACTAAAATAAAAATTTACAACAAAATATAAAAATTAAATAAAAAAAAAAAAACGAAGAGAAAAAATAAAAATTAATTTTGTTTTTTGAAAGCATTTATTTTTTTGTTTTTCTTTTTTTCTTTGAGAGCTTAAAAATTCTGTACCAACAAGTCATAGCAGTTTAAGTTGACATTAACACAAGAAACAAAAAAAAAAAAAACCAAGTAATCACACCACTTTATGTTTGACAAACAAAATTTAATATTATTTAAAAATATTTAGAACAGGTGTATAACCCAGCATTTACACATACAAGTTACTTGCAAGCAAGTTTGTATAATATTAATTGTCAATTAGTTTTTCCAAATGTCAAATTACTTGCTATTATGACGTAGGCGTTTAGCAAGTTAATTTTTGAAAATGTCTTTGAGAAGAAAACAACTAGCAATATATATAATTGTTTATAAATTTTAGAAACCATAAGTTTGCTAAGTTTAATTTTTTCAAAACAAAATTCAAAAATTTTAAATTAAAAAAAAAAAAAAATCAAAAACAACAAATTTTTTTTTGTGAATTTCTCAATATGTCAAATTACTTGCTCAAATTACTGGCAACAAAATTTTCTTGCAAGTTGAACTGCAAGTAAACAAGCAAGTAGAAATATTTCAATGTGTTAGTAAAATTTTTGTATGTATTGCAACTTTCTTGCAAGTAACTTGTACGTGTAAATGCTGGGTAAGACAATCACAAACTTGTTCCAAAAAAAAATCAAAAATTATTTTTCACTCATTTGATTTGTGACATTCAAAATGGAATGTCAAATATTATATTCAAAATAATTTCATAAACCAAATTTTTGACATTTTCCATATTATCACAAAATAAATTGATTGGAAAATAATATGTATTGTATACAAAAAAAGAAATAATAATCATATGTATGTAAAGTGATAATTACAATTTGTTGTTGCATGAATTAAATATAATTATAACATTTAATAATATTCATAGAAATATATGTGACATTTGTTTTGATTACTCTCGACAAGTCTTCATTTAAAAGTTGTTCAATCATTTTAAATTTACAGCAATACTGAAGAAAATAAATTAATTACAGAGAGCATAAACAAATTGAAGTTTGTATTCGAATCAATGATCCTCTATTTTTTAAATGGATACATTATTGAACAATTTTTTCTCTATTCAACTACCATTTTATGAAAAAAAAATTATCAAAATTTTCGGTATGACTATGTATAACCATTGGTATGATTATATTTTCTTGTACTAATTGCTGAATTATGAGATACAACAGCTGATATCAGTGCTGTTATTGTCTACTACATAATATAATTGTATAAAATTTTAAGTTAATTTTATATCACAATTTATATAATTAATTTATAGAATTGTAATTTATTGAAATATATTCTATTAATATGAGTAAATATACTTAATCCAGTCATTTATGTATAAATAGATTTAATTTTAGATTTTGTCGTATAAATAAATAGTATTTACGACAAAGTCTAATTACTATACTTATATGTCAAACTTAAATTATCTCAGACTTTACGTTAAAATTTAACAATTTGCTATGAAATTTATAAATAAATTAAAAATGTGCTGATAGCTTTTTTAAAAATTCTACAAAAAATTAATTGTTCTCATTTTCAAAAATCTGACTGTAAATCTAATGAGAATAAAGTAATATCTGTTATTTGCCGCTGGATAAAATCTAATATGAAAGTCTTTTACATATACGACTTTCATAAGTTCATATTAAATTTTAGATTTTTTCGTATATTTATAAGCAATACTTTAAATATACTACATTTAAATGATTATGATGTATCACCACAGATTATTTAAATTGTAGTTTGAGATTTACATACACACATACATACATTAAAATAAATTATATATTCATTATATTTAAACTATAAAAAATTTTTAAAAATTTTTGTTAAACTTATAAAACTATTCTATATTTACTTAAATAAGTAAGGTATACACTTGTACACCTTGTACATAATATCTGTAGTAATACAGATATGCACATATTTACTTTAGAATTGCTTATATATATAATATTTACATTAAATATATTTAAAATAATGTTATATATATACATACTTAACGTTCCTATTTCATTTACTTAGTTATAAAATATATGTACATACACAGTTATGTGTATATTACAATTTCTAATTTTGATGTTTTTGAGTTTATTAAAAACTCAACTTTGTAATTTTGAATTCAATAAATTTTCTGAAATTTGTAGTATATATGTAAAGATCGTATGTTGTATACATAAATACACTAATGCATAGTACAGAAGTTTATATTATAATAGAAATAAATAAATATAAGCTTTTATATGACTTGAAAATTGCAGTGATATTGCATTAACTTATGAGTTGTAATTGCACTGAATGATGTGTCAATACTTTATTACTGCAATTTTAAAGTCCGTTGTTACATATACATGTATTCAATAAAATATAATAATATGCAGAAATAATTTAAGATCGCCGTAGCAAAATACTTTATTACATACATACATACATACATATCTAATATTTGCAAATATTAATTAAATTTAGCTTGAATTCTTACAAGCAAAAAATTTTTTTTGCACAAAATTTTGCAAAAATCTTAAACATGTGCCAATTATACAAAAATAAATTAACTGATACATATATATATATATATATATATATATATATATGTATATTTACCAATATTATAAAAATAAGATTAAGTTTCTTTAAATACATTCATAAATTTTAAAATTTGAACTTTTTTTATCGATGATTTTAATATTATGAGTAGTATACGATAATTCAAATATTGGTAATTGTTTTAATTTTACGCGAGCCACGTTATTGTAATTTATTTAATATTCTGTAGAAAAAAAAAATTAATTATATTTTTTATTATAATTTTGACATAATTGCATTCTTCACAATCACATATTTTTATAATTACAGTATAAAAGTTTTTATTATATTCAATTATTTAAATGTCATAATTAATTTTGGATAGATATTAAATTGAAATTATCAATAATCAAAATATAAAAGAAAAAAAAATTTAAACTGCCCGTTTGTATAACAGTTTATATCTGTTATATTGCAGAAAATACAATCTAATTGCATATAAACAGACGTATTATTTTTTATGCTAGAATTTGTAGACAAAAATTAAAACAAAAATAAATTGCTTTACTTTTGACTTTCTTGAAAAACATACGATAAGCTAAAAATAAATTAATTCTTAATTACTTTATGTATAACAATGGTTTTAGGGATAAATTTGCTAAGTCGAAAAAAATATGGAAAATATAAATAGGAAAAAAAAATTATATTTTTATACCAGTGTTTGACTGCTCAACTCCTTATAACTGAGACCGATTTTGATTGTCGAATCATTAACTGATAGTGATAATTATCGTAAAAAGTTTGATATTATTATTTTTAACACAAACCAATTCATACAAGTGATATGAGCCTAAATTAAAGTTTTTGAAAATTATACAGAAGCTCAACTTTTTATTAAATTTTGACAGAATGTTGACAAAATACTGTCATAAAAAATTTATATATAAATTATTTTGTAAAATATTTTGTTGTGTTATTAAGTGTGCTTAGCAAGTGTAATTCATTTTTAATAAATTATCTATGAAAAAATATTTGTAATTAATTAAATTATCTGCAATTTAAAGTTCGAACACAAAACACGGATAATTCGAATATGCAATATAACAGAAAGCTTTAGAATTCGACTTAAACAATTTTATTATGGTAGTAGCGCCTCAAATAACATATTATTAAAAATAAAATTTTTGTTCATCATGTTATAATTACGTTTTAATGAAATCATTCCGTACTCAAGAAAATATTAATTACTTATAACGTAAAATTAGAGTAATTAGTATTTTATTTGACTAGAATATTTTAAAATTTTTTTGTCCGTCTTTGGTATAATAATATTGAATCAGTATAAATGAAAAAATTGAAATTCATTTTAAATAATAATAATATATTATAGTACTAAAATTTTGTTCTACTAATTTTATATACACGTAAAGGGTGGGATAATTAATATTTGTCTTTTCGTATATAGACAAACTAATTAATTCGTTTTCTTATACCCAGATGGTTTTATTTATGTATAGCAAATAGAATAAAAACAAACTTCTTTGTTATGCCTTTTTTAGGATCTAATATGATTTTGCTTCGGGTTTTAATCGATAATAAAAATCTCTCTTAATAAAATTTCTTTATTACGTTAGGGATACGTTAGGGTTATATTACATTAATTGAACGTTGGTATGTTATGGAACAGAATGTTGGTATACTTTAGTTAAAAAATCTGTATAATGAGCTAAATACGGATATTGAATCAATTTGTCCTATTGGCCCACCTTATATGTTGTTTATAATTATATTGTGGGCATAGAATTTTATCTGTTAATATTTTGAATTTAATGACAAATAATAACTTCGCATAAAAAATAATTAATACAAATGTGTGTAAATCTGAATATTGGCATATTAAATTATTCTATATTCGAATACGACATATGCATTATGCATGATTTGAAAGCGGAAGTACATTGCCTCTTTTTGTTTACGACTTTATTTTTTTTTTTTTCTAAACATAATATTTTGTTTTTCTTATTGAAGAGGAATAATTTAATTATTTTGAATGATGAAATGTTCAATTTTAGAATTTCTATTAAAAAATATAAAATTATATTTTAAATATAAGAAATATCACATATTATATAGAAAATTAATAGCTGAGTTTCTTAAGGAAAAATTTTAAGCAATGTCCTCCCGGAAATTTTATAAAACAT